TATTTCATGAAAATCTATATCATTTCGAACCTCTACACCAAAAATACCTGTAGGAATAATTATGTTTTCCATGTATGGAATAATTATGTTCTACAACATATTTATTAATCCATATCTAATTAGCGTGAATAAATCTCGCTTCTTGGCTGTTCTATTAGAGACGGCATTGGTTTGATATTTAGAAATGTTTGTCAAAAATGCTGATGACATTTTTTCTTGGTGACATGCCATTTCGTGTTGATTTTTTGCAAGAAGAGGGAAGAACTGTCACTTGTTTTATTATTTTCTTTTTTTTCTATTTCACGAAAGTAAAAAAAGTTACCTACCTGATTTATCTCAGGCACTTAATTTAAAAACACTTAAATCAATATCAATAACTTTTTGACAGAGGGATTTTATATTTACCATGTTGGTAAAAATAACGGTCAAAATTCAATCATTCATTTTATAGACTATACCAAACTTTTAGTTTAATTAACTAAAAATATCTATAAACAATATTTATAATATTTTTCACTGAAATTTAAACAAATAATTTTATATGGAAACTAGCTGGCCAGCGACTATTCGCGTCGAATTAATCATTTATAAAAAAGTGATGATAAAGCAAAGCAAGAACTTCCATTAACACACAAGACTGGATAAAATTTCTTTTCACATTTATGTCATCGTATAGAGAAAAAACAATATGGCGATATTACGATATAGCTTGGTAATATTTGAGGGGTAGTTTCATCGCGTTAGAATTTGACTTTCGAAAAATCCGTTTGCCAAAAATAAGCTTTTTACGTCAAGCAGTTTAAGCAGAATCGTGGTTAAGAAATTACCCAACTTTTTGGAACATCCTGTATGATTTTTTAAAAAATTTCAAAATATGTAAAAAACAAAATAAATAATGTTTGTTCAAGCGTTTTCCCGAAAGACTAACCGTTTATCAAATAACAAATAGTATTGTAATATTTGAGGGGCGTTTTCACCCTCTTGGAATTTGAGATTCGAGAAACCCCTCCTTATCGAACCTCTACACCCCACAGTTAATCCGTTTACCAAAAATCAGCTTTAAACGTCAAGCAGTTTAAGCAGAATCGTGATTACTCAATGTTCATATTTATGAAACACCCTGTATAAATTTATAAAAAATCTTAAAATATGTAAAACAACAAAATAAAATATACGTGTTTAAGAGTTTTTCCGAAAAACTCACCGGTTTTTATTTAAAAAATATTTTAATATTTGAGGGGTTCACCCCCTTAGAATTCGAGGTTCGAAAAATCCCTTCTTATCGAACCTCTACACCCTAAAGTCAATCTGCTTTCCAAAAATCAGCTTTTTACGTCAAGCGCTTTAAGCAGGATCGTGATTAATCACTGACCAGATTTTTCGAAACACCCTGTATACATTTTTAAAAAATCTTAAAATATGTAAAAGAACAAAATAAAATATACGTATTTAAGCGTTTTATCGAAAACGACCGTTTTTTAAATAAAAAATATTGTAATATTTGAGGGGTGGTTTCACCCTCTTGGAACTGGAATTTCGAAAAATCCCTTCTTATCGAACCTCTACACCTGAGGATCAACTTGTATGCCAAAATTGAGCTTCTTACGTTGAGTGATTTGAGCAGGATCGTGATTAATCACAATTTGTGTAGCGCATGAAAAAATAGAGATAATAGGATAATTCTAAAAAGAAATGTTAGTAATACATCTAAGATTACAGGAAAGTGTTTTTTATCCAAAATGCCTGTCCCATTTTTTCCACAGGATGTTTTGAATTTATTGCAAAAAACAAAGTTTTGGTTTACCCCGGTATAAACACACCTAACCGAAATATTATAAGCCATCAAAAAAATAATGCCAACAAATTTATCTACAAACTAATCAAAATAAAAACACTAAATCACCACAATACACCAAAACACTTTTACTTTTACACTGAACGCGCGTTTCGCTAACCATGTTAGCATCATCAGCAGATGATTATAAACTCAAACTAATACTATAATCAACTAAATACTACAAACATCAAATTTAGTCAAAATTTTAGGGTTGCGGAATTTTATAGCGGAGAGTTTATATAAAAAACGTATAAAAATATAACGTTTATTATTCTGTTAAAAGTGTGCAACATGGGGTATCATTATTATAATTCAAAGTAGACCACTAACCATGTTAAATCGAACTTAGACATGATAGAACACAAGGTACCTATTAATCCACATTAGAGGCCGTTTATTGCTGTGGCTAGTGTGACGTCAATGACAGTTTGACTTTTGCAATTTCAGCTTACGTGATTCATTACGATTTCCGTGTTAAAATAGGGTCAGCCAGATAGCCTAGCTAGATACGTTCCTGAATTGCATCCAGGCAAGTCTAATTAATAGTTTTCAATGCGCTGGAATGCATTAGAGCAATAGGGGGACAATGCTTGGACAATGCTATGATCAAAGAGAAACATAATTTTGAAGCACGCAAATAAAGAAAAGTTATAATTGAAAGTATCAAACACGTAGAAGAAATATTGTTTTTTTATTTAACTAGACATATTAGAAAAATAAAAATATATGTGTCTATATTTCTTTTGATATTAGCCGCGAAAAAAAAAGATAAACGATATATTTTCTGATTTCAGCAAACATCTATATATATTTTCCACTCCATTTGATCAATAACATCGTTATATTTTCCACGATATTAAATATAAAAAGACAGGCAAGGCAGGAAATCTCCCATTTGTTTTGTTCAGATTTGCTTTTGATAGCATTTGTATATTTTTTATAGCAGCACATTTTATTTCAAATTAACGGTTTTATTTGTTTGTCATAGATCAAAGAGATTTTTAGTAGTTTCTTTTTTTAAATGATATAATAAAAATTAACTTTGCTATGGGTATTATTATAATTTTAATTGCAGAAAATAGATTTGTGTCAGCGCACTACAGAAAATTATTAAGAGTAAGAACATTTCTAGAAGTTTCAAAATCAGAATGTACGAAACAATGATTAGACCAATAGTGCTGTATTCATGTGATCGTGAATGTTAAATGCAACGGAAAGTTCGAGGCTAGAGATCTGGGAAAGAAAAATACCGAGGAAGATTTTTGGAGGAAAGAAGATAGCCAACATATGGACCAGAAGAACCTATGAAGAATTTAAGCAACTATATCGGGCACCGAGCATAACGGGAGCAGCAAGAGCACGATTACTGAGATGGCTGGGACACATTGAAAGAACGGCGGAAGCAAGAATTCCTAGTATGATAATGAAACGTGAAAAAGAGAAGGAGGGGTAGACCAAGAATTACATAGAAAAAGGAAGTCCTCTTCTAGACTTGAGAAGGATAAGAGTGGATGCGTGGAGAATAAAGGCGAAAGACAGAAAGAAATGGAGAAAGATAACCAATCAAGCCATGGGCCTTTTAGGCTTTTAGAGCTATTATATATATTAACAAGCCATTGACCAGCCAGTTTCTGTTTAGCTTCAAAACAGAAGTATTTACAAACAATACATTTTCTATGGTATATTTCTCTTCAAGAGGCCAAAAACCCAGAATTTCTTCAAGAAAAATTTCATTTTTCCATTGTATTTTATCATTTTGTATACTACCCACTCTTTCCGATCTCTTTTTCCATTTTGTTCTTTCGTCTATACTTTACCTCCCCATCCAATAATAAGACATATTTAGAGTTACTATATTAGCACGAGTTACTATATTATTAACTAGCTCTATTTCTTAAAATATAAAATAAACCCCATTTTATTCCTCCACCTCAAACCTCCAAACAAATAAAGACGAAAAATATTTCCTGCAAAATGGCACACGACACACGTTCTCTCTTTGTGACACACCGTAATTTATTTGTCAGTTCTCGGTATGATAGGGAATTTATACGGGAATACTACGGCGAACACAAGTACTCCTTTTCCAAAACAAACCGACCGAATAAATCAGACGAAAGATGACGTAAAAAACGAACTAATCTCGGGATTTATTATTGGATGGGGAGGTGAAGTAGGCGAGAGAACAAAATGGAAAAAGCGATCGGAAAGAGTGGGTAGATATTTGTTTGGACTAGTGGATTAACAAAATAAGACCTGTTTGTGCTCTGGTAGAATGAACCGAATTAACATTGGAATGGATAGGATTGCCAGAGTACAGTTTCAAGTACAGTAATCCCGTAACACACATAAGGAGGTATATGTTTGTTTTTTTTTAATTCAGTAGTAAAAAATGTATTTTATTCAACAGCCACAACTTATATAGACATTATTCACATGTATACATACATATAAAATAAATAATAACACACGCGTGAGTTTTTGGAGTTATAACAAACTAGTGTATTATAACTTCAAAGCCACACCATTTTATAGAAATTATTAAGCTTTATTCATCAATAAAATTAGTAATTCAATTATTTATTTAAATTGACATTAACATTAAAGGAAAATCACTTTTTTTTGTAGATTCAGAAATTGTAAAACCTTGTATGCCTCCAGATGCTGTTCCTCCACTGCTTGAAATAGGCTCTGTCATTACAACGGCTCGTTCTGGAACACTTACAGCACCTTGAATCTTTTTGGCAATCTCTATTTTTAAATCATTATTTTTATTAAGTAGAACTTCGGTACGGCGGACCTGGCGCAAGTGGCAACCCATGCTTTTAGGGGCAATATAAAAGCACAACGGCAATGTCTGTTCCCAGATTGGGCGGTTGCAAACCGCGTCTGACCCAGAATGGGCGGCCGATACACAAGCCAGGATTTGGCATAAAGGAAGACAACGGAATACCACCTTTATTATTAATTCCCAAGACAATAACATGAGTATATTTAATTCAAAATTTTCCGGAGTTATAAATAGTTCCCCAATCGGATCTCCGGGGGAACGGCTTTAAATGTGACAAACAAAAGAGCGAATTTGAGAAAACCAATTAAGATCGGAACATAGAATGTAAGGAGCCTATTCGAGGCTGGAAAACTGGCAAACCTCACACGAGAAATGAACAGACTTAGTCTGGATATCCTAGGCGTTGCAGAAACCTGGTGGCCTGGGGTGGGAGAGTGCAATGTGGATAACGGCGTATTCTTTTACTCTGGTAATGAAGATCCAAAACACAGGAAAGGTGTGGGAATCATAATAACAAAAAAAAATACTGAAATCTGTAGTGGACTTTGTTCCATACTCGGATCGCACTGCTTTATTAAAACTCAGAGCCAAGCCAAGTGATCTTAATATAATACAGGTATACGCTCCAACTGCAGATTCGCCGGACCATGATGTGGAAAGATTCTATGATGAAGTCAAAGAACTGCTCAAATTGACTAAAAAACACGACGTCAACATAATTATGAGTGACTTCAATGCCAAAGTAGGAAAGGGTAAATTTGAGGAAATTATTGGTTCCTATGGTCTTGGGGAAAGGAACGAAAGGGGCGATCGACCTCTGCAATTCTGCCAAGGAGAGGGCATGAAAATAACAAATACGGCGTTTCAACTTCACTCTCGCCGTCTCTATGCCTGGAAGTCTCCAGTCGACCGACCGGACAATGTAATACGAAACCAAATAGATTTCATCCTCATTAACCAAAGGTTCAGCTCAACCATCAAGGGAGCCAGCACCTACCCTGGCGCCGATGTTCCCTCTGACCATGTGCTATTAGTGGCCGTAATGAAAATTGCTTTATCGAGTCAAAGAAAGCCAACCACACAGCGACGAATGGCGTTAGAAGGAATGAGGGATCCAATAGTAAAATCGGAGATGAGTGACGAAATCAACACACAAATTCAAGCAATAATACCGAATATGGGAGAAGAACCAACACAATCTTGGACAAAGATATTGTATCAAATTTAATGCAAAACAGGTTAGGATATGAAGCAAAAAACAAAAAGCAAAGATGGATGACGGATGAGATATTGTTGTTAATGGATGAACGTCGAAAGTACAAAAACAAAACAGATGGCATGTACAAAGATATTCAAAGACTCATAAGAACAAAGATTAGAATAGCAAGGAACGAATGGCTTAAACGTGAATGTTCAGAATTAGAACAGCTGCAAAACCAACATGACAATTTTAATCTGCATAAAAAATGAGATCAACTGTGACAGTCAATAATAACAACCAGATTGTCCTCGAAAGCATACTTAAAAAGCCATACTTAATTCGAAAAATAACAAAGCGGCTGGGCCAGATGAAATTCCTGCAGAAATACTTAAGCTTCTAGATGAAAGAGGCATTACAGCATTACATAAAGTATTCAATATTATATATGAGACAGGTCACTACCCCAAACAGTGGTTGCGTTCTACTTTTATACCCCTGCCTAAGAAGACCAATGCCAGAAAGTGTGAAGATCACAGACTTATCAGCCTGATGAGCCATACCCTAAAAATATTTCTGAAAATAATACACCAGAGAATTTACAAAAAATGTGAAAGGGACATAAATGATTCGCAAATGGAGTTCAGACAAGGGTTAAAGGCACCAGGGAAGCAATAGTTGCAACACAGGTGCTTGTGTCGCATGTTATATAAGTCTTTAGAGAAAATTGTGTGCAACATGTGCAAAAAGCATATTTGTTGCACTCAGCATGATTGCAGTTGATTAAAACTCAAACGTCGTGCAACAAATGTGTCGTTTCTGCACTAGTTGCACAAATAACTACTTTAAACGTATTAACGAAGGTTTCTGTGACTAATTTAAAAAAAATACTTTTCAATAAAAAAAAAAAAAATATTTCAAAGAAAACGAAGAAATTTAAATAGAATGCTTAATACAGTGGCACAGCGCGTACCGTTGCTAATTTATTTCTCAAAGGCACGGGTGTTGTGTGTTTTTTAGCAGAGGTAAATCCACACTAGTATGAAGATGTATAATTTTAGTTTCTGGACATTTACATATTTTTCTCGGTCCGCTTTGCATAAAATGCAAAACAGACCCGAGCATTATGGAGAGTATCCGTTGGCATTTATAAACAAAGATTTATTATTAAATGAAAACATTTGCATATTTTTAGGCAATGTCTCGTGTCGGAATACCTTTGGGGGTTTGTGTGATTTTTTTCGGTTTTAGCGGTTTATGTTGAGAGAATAAAATAAATCGTATCTCTTTCTACCCATTTGGTATGTTCCCCATATATGCTTCTGTGCTTCCCCATTTGTTGTATTTTTGATAAAGCCTCTTAGTCATGAACTCTAGATCGTATGAGTCCTGCGCAATCACGACCTGATCGTCTGCAAAGCTCAGGGTAAATAGTGTGTTGTCCCCAATAGGTATTCCCATACCTTGACATTTTGTCTTCCATTCCCTTAGGGCTACTTCGACGTAAGCGTTGAAGATCAGAGGAGATAAGCTGCATCCTTGTCGCAACCCTTTTGTGGTGTTAATTGGATTAGATAGCCTGTGTCATAACTTAACGTACGATTCATTTTCTTTATATAGCTCTTTTATTATCTTAAGCAAAGGTCTATCTACTTCTAAGATATTCAAGACTTCCCATATCTTGCTGCGGGGAATAGAGTCGTACGCTTGCTCAAAATCAATAAATGCTAGATGGACTTCTTGATCTACTGCTATCTTTTTTCCATCACCTGCTGCAGGACAAAAGGTTATCTGTGCAAGATTTCCCCGGTGTGAATCCGCTTTGGTCTTCCGAGATTTTGTCACCAATACTGTCCCTGAGCCTACCCTGTAGCACCTTTCCAAAAAGTCTGCTGACCGAACTGTTAATGCTTAGGCCTCTATAATAAGTGGGGTCGTTACGATTTCCCTTTTTAAAGATGGACACTATGCGAGCCACTCGCCATTCTCGGGGTAGTTTACTTTGCAGGCAGCACTGGTTAAATAGCTCTGCCAGACGCCAGCGCAGTCTTAGGGTTCCACACTTTAACAATTCGGCTACAATATTACCAGGACCTGGTGACCGTCCATTTTTCAGATATAAATGCACATCGTTACTGTAATCTACTATGACATTTCAATTAAAAAAAAAACACTTCATTTCAATGCCAACTAGACGCGGTTTTTTTCGATCATTACGGTATTTAATGTATATGAAAAAATTCAGAATTTAAAGATATTGCAGTGGTATTGTAGCATTTTCATTTTCCAAATGCAAAATGCTGTTTTTTTTATCATTAAGAAGATCCTTTTTTAGTATAATTTGGTATACAAGGCAAGTATATATAAAATTTTATTAATTGGATTTTAAATAATCATTAGTGTGTTAAGAAATTAACTATTCTTAACATTTTACATTTAACCGGTTAAGTACTTGCCTTCAGCATCACTTTAGCCCTTAATTTATAAAATTTAACATTTTGTTACATTTTTTTAACACTTTAAGTATTTGCCTTCAGCAATGCTTGGATTTCACTTGTATTTGATTATTAAAATAACCATGTTATATGGATTGATTATTCGGATTTAATATCTATTTATGTTAACCTTTTATATTATTACGATCTTTGACCTGTAAGGGCAATCTTGGGTACAGATTTTAGTCTTTTTCCCCTTAACTATATATAAACAAAGAGGTTCATGAATCTTCGTAATAAGTCAAGTCAAATTTAATTCTTTATTTTTTCGAATATAACCAAGACCGTCTCTAAAAGTTTTTTTTTTATATTATAATTGTTTGAATAATATTTGAAAATTTCTAATTTGATTTTAAACAAGTTTTAAGATACAGTTTTTTAAATATAATTCTTGTATATTAATGTATATAACTGCTGTGCCGAATAGGTACCGAATATTTCTAACAAGTAATAAATCTTATTTATTTGGGTATTTGAATTGTTTCATTGGTTGATCCAGTTTCTCAAAATATTTAATAGCTATACTAATTTTAGTTTCTATTCAATTAATACACTTGTACAAATTTTCTTATTTCAGTTTGTACTATCCTTTGTAAGTATTAGCATCTTTTTGAAATAAGTGGCGCCCTTTGGTATAGGTGGGTATCACTTTTTAGTCAAGTGCAGAAGTAAAAGCTTGTTCCCACCGCCTCCGATATAAGAGTAGCCGTTCGCAATATTTTGACTTAAATTTTCAATAAAAGGAAAGTTTGTGTCACAGTATAGTAATCGAATATCAATAAAATATAGTAAAAATATATTTAATGACGTATTGTTTTTACAATTATTAACAGTCACTGTAAGCAAGTATAAATCGTACCTAGTGCCTCAATTATAAAAATCTAAAGTTTATTTCATGACTCTTACGACCCAAACCTGCTCCTCTAGACTTCGTACAAACCCCGTACATCTATACGATCTTTTTTATTTATTTTTATCTGCAGAAAATGCTGCCGAAATTTCCGGAATACAGTTCTGACCACACTGTATATGTTTTAACATGAGTAAATGACACGCACATAATTTATTTAACTATGATTCACCCTTTATTAGATTGTCAATTTTTTATTGTTTCTCTAAAGTTAATTATTTATAGACCCACCGACGTAACAATTACAAAGTAAAAAATTCATTTAATCCTGATATCCAGATTAGAAAGGGCTTGAAGATTGATGGCATTCGTAATCCATGTAAAGAGCTTTAAATGGTTTTAATTGCGTGCGTGTTCCAAGCTCATTATGGGAAACAATGGGCGCCGATGGGTGTCGCTTACAAATCACCATTTCATTGGTATAGTCCGTTTTTTTAAGTGGAATAAACAGAGTTGTTTAGTCAGTGAGTAGTTTGGGTGTAATATACAGGTTTGTTCACGCTATTCGACACGGGGCTATTTATTTTTTAAGATGATTCTTAAATGGGTATAAAAATTTTACGTTTTCAAACTTCAAAAAGGCATTAAAAAAAACATATCAAAACATATCGTATTTATTGAATATTTTTGTTGCCATATTTATACACATTTAATTTTTGTATAGTTCACCTGCGTCTGCTTGCGACGAACTTTATCTTATAATACTTTTCAGATGGAGTAAAATTGATCCGATCTGGTTAATACTTGGCTTGATCATAAGGACAAGAACTCAAAATTATTTATATTTCAAAAAATGTGTTCTTTATTAGATATTGATGAACCTTCCAGTCCAATGAGACAACCACTTATGCCTGAGCCCACTATGTTGGAGCGAAACGTGGCATAAAAAATGTTTCCATCTTTCAATTTATTATAAAACCTGATACCCAAGAAAACGAAAAAATAATATATGGATATGGTCTATTAAAGAGGTAACTATTAACATCCGAACCCCTCATACCAACAAAAAAAACAGTAGTAACAACGCGAAAAAGTAACATACTAGAAAATGATGTACAGAAATATCTTATATGTGAGGATATTTCATCTACCTGTGATTTGGATACTATAAATTTGGAAGATTCTGTCAGCAGTGATTCTTCTATGCATTTTGTTGTCCTAAAGTAAATTTATAGTATCTTAAGTTTTTTTTTTATTAAATATAGCATTGATGTTTCTTTTTCATTAAAGAAAAACATATTTATCTTATATTAGGTTTATATTGTAGGAATCATGTTAATAATGTTATTCCAATTCTTTTTTATCACATGGATTTATTTAATACCTACACCGTTTTCATACTATAAATTATTATTTTCTTAGATGGAACACAGCTCCAATTTTATTATTTATAAGATTTTTTTTCATAAACGTGGGACTAAGAACATCATCATTTAATACAATGAGAGTACTCATCATTTGTGTCAAATAAACCTAGTTTGAATAAATTGCCTACAATAAAAGAGAAGTTTTGCATTTTTGTCCTCTAGAGCCATATGTTCGAAGCACTGTGCTAAGCTTAAAAATTGGCAAGGGCCGGAACTGGTTGCAGTGAAGGGAGAAAACATCCCTAAAGGGGCAGCCAT